CTATCGCCCTCAAGCACACCATATAACACTTGAGGTGAAATGTTCAAATTAAAACTACAAATTATTACCCCCATATTGCTGCCAACTACATTCCGGCAGGCGTTAGTTCTGGACCCTGAACTTTGAAGGTGAGCTCCTTAGAGCTCGCTGATGGATTGCACGTGTGATTAAAAGAGAGGCGATCCTAAGATTTTTGAAGAGGGACCAACAAGGGCCGAAGTGGCTCAGGAAGGAGTTTCGGAAGGAAGCAGTGCAGGGATCTAGGTGGGTCCTTTCCAGCGCGAGGACACGCTGTAGAGGCAGGGAAGACACAGGAGAGCAGAGGGAGAGAGACCTGGCGAGAGGGTGTTCTGGACTGAGTGGGAACGTGGGTTCCTCACGGAGAGCTTCAGTACCTACCGAGTTGCGGCAGAAAACGGAAGGCGTGGTCCTTTGGGATCACTGAGCGGACATACGGATGCTAGCTAGGATTGGGGAGGACGTGGGCGGAGTTATATCAGCAAGGGATGGCTCCCCTCTGCCCCAGAAGAGAAGTCCAAGTGCCGAGGGGCCAGGGGAGGGTGGGGTGTTAAAACCCGGAGTGGGGCTGTGTGGAGAGAAGGCTGTCCCTCGTGGACCCTGGCCTGCGGCGGAGGATCAGCAGCCCCTGCCGACCGGTGTGGCTCTGCAGAAAAGGAGCTGGGAAAATAGAAACCCACCCTCACTGCCCTCCCAACCCATCCATCTGCTGCTGAGGCCTCCTAGGGGATGAGGCCTGAGGGCAAGAGTCCACAGCCTAGGGCCCTCAGGCTGGGGACGCAGCAGGGGTGCAGCTTTAAAAAAACAAAGTCAGGGTTTGTGGATTGGGTGATAGGGATCTAGAAAGCGTTGGAGAGAGAATGTGTTAAATTGCATTTAAGGAAATCTAAAGGCATAGGATCAGTTAGGTAGGGAGTCTAGGAGACCTTAGAAGAGGCTCTTTGATAACCGGGGGAACTGGGAGAAAAAGAGCCATTGTTATGCAGCAGCGTCCTGCCGGGAGCGAGGCACCGCTCTGGGAGCTTAACCGGCTGGCATTCTCTCCGCAGAGCAGGGGCCCTCAAAGCCACCCGAGGGTTCTAGCTGTCTCGTGAGGATGGAATAAGGTTGAGCGCAGTGTCCAGAATATAGAAACACTCACTGGATTAGTTACCCCCATTGGAACAATGATGGATAAGAACCAGAAACAAACACCGAGCCCCAGAGAGGTTGCTCAACCAGTCAGTGGTGTTCAGACGCAGACCATTCCGATCCCAGCCCCCACGTTCCCAGCGTCTTGTCCACCACACTGTGCCTTCTCCAGTGTGGAGAGGAACGTTGCAAAGGGACAACTGGTGAGCCCTGGAGACGGACGTGGGCCAACGCCTGCCCTGTGCGAGCACACAGGGACAGGAGACAGTGAGTGACAAGGGAGAACCAAAGCCCCAGAGGAAGAGATAAAAGTGGAAACAATTTGCAAGGGGAGGCGGGGACAAGGAGCCTTCACCGGACAGCTGGTTAGGTTAAAGGGAAGAAAAGGTCCTGAGGGAAAGCCAGGGGGTGGAGGAGGGGCCCCAGGAATTAAATGCAAGTTCTGCAAGTGATTGAAGGCTTAAGAGGTCAGATTCATTTTTTTTTTTTCCTCTTGAAATCTATCAAGATGTCAACTCATCTCTCCCTAGGGGATTTATCTGACAGAAGCCAGTGTGTGACCATAGTGCCTGCCGTAGAGAAGGCTTTCAGTACGTTTGTTGAATAAATGAAATGAAGCAGGTACAGCGTGCCCTTGACTTCAGCTGCCCACGTAAGATCAATAGATTCAGTGTCATCTACTTTTTAAAAAAAGTATTTATTTATTTTTAGAGAGGGGAAAGGAGGGAGAAAGAGAGGGAGAGAAACAGCAATGTGCAGTTGCCTCTCGTGCGCCCCCTTCTGGGGACCTGGCCCGCAAGCCAGGCATGTGCCCTGGCTGGGAATCAAACCAGTGACCCTTTGGTTCGCAGGCCGGTGCTCAATCCACGGAGCCACACCAGCCAGGGCTGTCATCTGCTTTCTTTATGTCCCTCTGAACTATGCTGATCTACTGTGCATGGGTGAACAACACCTGCTGGGTGAACCTAAATTCAGTTCATGTACATTTGCATCAGCATACCGATATTGGACTTTGAATTGGGCATAACGTTTTCTTTATGTGCTCTCCACTGCCGGTATTTACTTTTCAAACTCTTTCAAAATTGACCCCAATCTGCTCTCCAATCCTTATTTTTGACCACTCTCCTATGTGAATTATTGGAAACAGGCTGGTTTCCTCACCATTTTCCAGATAAGAATTTCACACTTAATGCCTTTGTGCCTCCTAAATGCTGACTTGGAGTGACCCAGTGCATTCTACTTTTTCACTTATTTTTTTTTTTTTTTAAGATTTTTCATTCTTGGGCAACTTCTTAAACTTTCAGCGCCTCAGTTTCCTCATCCTTAAAATTTAAAAAATGAGAATAACAGAATCTGAACTCCAAGTTGCCAGCGATGCGACCACGCCGGTATCTATGGCATGAATTTTCAGATTTGGCTCTCTCACGTACCAGCTGTGTGATCTTCTGCTCAGTCCTCTCCTTTTCAGGCCCCGATCTCCTCCTTTGTGGAAAGGGGTGAAGGGAGAAAGAATCTTGCTGTGGTTGTGTTCGGTCTGAGGTAGTGGTGTCCTCTCCCGGCTCACAGCCTGCCTGGCTGCACGCCCTGGGACCCTTCTCAGTCTCGCTGGGCCCCAACTCTCTCAGTGGTAGAGCACGTGAATGGCACCCGAGTAGGAGCTGTGTGAGGGTAGGTGACGTTTATCCAGGAGAGGGGCTGCTAAAATATCGTCATTCCCTTATAGCAGAGATGGGTGACAGCACATAGCTGATGTCACCAGCCATTAAGATTTTCCAACCCTTGCTCCCCAAACAACTTTTCAATAGCTTAGCTCTCCATACAGCTTTCCTGTGGTGAAATTCAAGTTATTTCCATGGACCCCAAAGCAAAACTTACTGTGTTTATCTGGAATGGCTTGGATTCAAAGGTGTGAGGGACACATACATGAATTCTTCTTGCCTTGTTTGGAGACCACTTCTGGCAGCTCCCCACCACCCCCCCTTTCCTTCTCTTCATTGGCAGCAGAGGGGGTCAAATCTGGGTCTCTGTCACTTAAGACTTGAGTGGGGAAGACATTCTGCCTTATCAGACCTCTGTCTCTATTTCAAGTCTAGTAACAGTATTTGTCATGGAGTAAGTTGGAACCACCAGAATTCTTGCAAAAAACCAAAAACCAAAAAAAACAAAAACAAACCCTCCTGTCATCATTCTTGATCTTTTGTGGTTACCATGCTGCCCACACCAGAACTATAGTTTTGGATAATGATCAGTGCTGGGGATATGCATTTTTATGACATGTTTTGGGGGCTATCTTTCTTATCTTCCTTTTATTACATTGTTACATAACAAAACATGCAACTCCTTGGTCAATCTTTGAAGGTTTCAATTCTTTTTTTCTTTCTCATTCGCTAACTTTGGTGGTGATCTTGTAGTAGCAGATCAGACTGTCTCACGGGAATGCATGCTGGCAACTTCAAGTAATCAAGTTGTCCCACAGTAGTTATCCATCTGAATGATTCAGCTCCAGCCTGTATGCCCTGCCTCAGCTGGTGACACAACCTTGACCTACCAAGGCCCAAACTGAGACTTTTTTGTGACTCTTCTCATTGCACCCAACCTCACCTCGCGGACTGAACCCATACTCAGTTCTGATCCTGTCTATTCCTCTCCATCCTTATAGCTCTTGCCCTAATGCACCTACACCTTTCCTATTTCAGGGGTCTCCTAAGTGCTTTTCCTGCCTCCTGGTTTTTACCCTCTTAGATCTATCCTGAAACTAAAACTATCTTAGAACCTTTCACTTGCTCCCAATTTTAACTTCTGACTGATCGGTCCCATCCACACCTCCAAAGTCACCCCAAGCTGTCACCCTAAAGTTGAGTTCCTTAAACTTGAAATTATTCATCTCGTGACCTTTTTGTTCATAAGCCTGGAATCCCTTTTTAGACACACCGGGTGGGGATCAGAAGGACAATGTGTATTGTACTCCGTGAAGGCAGGCATAGCATGGCAATTAAAGGAATGTTTCTGGCCTTTGTCCACTGCTCCTAAGAATATCCTAATTACACATGGTCCCCCCTGCGTTCCCCCAAGTTTCCTGCTTCTCTCCCTTGGAACAGAGTGCTGTCCGCTTCCTCCCATCCCTTTCCTATCCGTGGAGGCAACGCTCTGGGCGGCTTTCCCGGCCTAGCCAGGTTTACATCCTCTGGCTGTGCTGCATTTTCTTAACCCTTTCTCTCCACTAGCCTGCTGGGTTTTCCAAGGACTTCGGCTCGGTCTTATTTATTCTAATTTCTACCACTGCATGTGGCAACGTGGACGCTCCGCAAACGTTCGCTGTGCTCTCCCCACGACAGAGGGTCGAAGTCCGCGGACCCCTGCCCACACTCCCCCTCCCAACCTGCGGCTTCCCCGCCTTCCTCCTCCCCTCCCTGGGGAAGCTCCCCGGGCCGTTCTCTCTTTTGAGGTTGGCGGGATTCTCAGTTTTCAAGGTGTTTCGCAGCGAGCCATCTTCGTGGGGGGTCCAGGGGCGAATACCCTGGACCCAGATGACCATCCGTGCAACGTCCCTTCCGAAAGCCCGAAGAGGGCGACCCCGGCTGGCTTGCGACGAGTCCCAGAGCCTCACGTCTGGCCGGGGGCGCCAGGACCTGTCCCCACGCCCCCCGCCCGCGGCCCCCAGCTGGTCCCCCGCCCAGCAGGCCGCCCGACCTCCGCCCCTTGCACCGCCCCGCCGCGCAGCTGGGCCGCCGCGCCGGCGCCTCACCGCGCGCAGGGATCCGACACGCGCCGCCCCTCCCCCACTCGCCGTCGACCCTGAGCCGGGCCTTTGCCCTCCCAAATCCCCTTCTCGGCACCCCCTGAGACGGAGGACAGGGAGGCGAGGCTCGCCCTTCCCGGCCCCGCCCGACCACGCGTTGTCCAGTGGCGTCCCGCTGCCCCTTCGGTGGACTACTTTTCCTGCCGCGGAGGTACTACTTCTGCGGAAGCATCGGGACTGGCGGCGCGCACGACATGGCGGCGGCGGCGGCGGCGGCGCGCCTGAGCTAGAGGGACGCTGGCCCGGTCAGGCCTCGGCGCGGCCTATACGCTTCGCTCGCTCGCTCGCTCCCGCCCTTCGCCCCACGGCTGGCCATGGCCGAGTCGTCGCCAGCCCGACGCCCGGTGCCCCTCATCGAGTCGGGTAAGACGCGCCGCCCAAGCCCTCCCCGCGACGCCCCCGCCCCGGTCCCCTTCCCACGGCGCGCCCGCCCCTGACCCGACTCCCTCTCTCCCCTCAGAGCTGTACTTCTTAATCGCCCGGTACCTGTCGGCCGGCCCGTGTCGGAGAGCCGCCCAGGTGAGTGCGGGCCCTGCGGACGGCGGCGGCCGTGGCCCGGCCTCGCCATCGCCCGGGGTCCGGGAGGAGGGCGCAGGGTGGACCGGGGTGCGGCCCCCGCCCCTCTAACTGCGCGTCTCGTCGGCTGCAGGTGCTGGTGCAGGAGCTGGAGCAGTACCAGGTCTGTGCATCGCGTCGCCCTCCGCCCCGTGCCCGCCGCCCCCTCTCCCGGCCTGGTCCGAGCTCGCTCGCCCGGCCCCGCTGCCTGCGGCCCCGGCGTCGCGGCCCCCGGCCCGCCTCCCCTCCACCCCGGACCCACGCGGTGGTCACTCGTGTGCCTTTCGTGTCTTTGCAGTTGCTGCCGAAGAGGTTGGATTGGGAGGGCAACGAGCACAGCAGGAGCTACGAGGAATTGGTGAGGTTTTGACATCTCCGTCCCGGGTTTCCGAGCACCCGCCTCCCGCCCCCTTTTCGGGGCTCCCGCTCGTGGGGCGAAGTGACCGAGCCGCGCTCTGGGGCGGGCGGGCGGCGGGCCGGGGCGTCTCCGGGGCCGTGAGACTTCCCGCGGCAGGGTTGTGTTGCTTTGGGGGTGGCTGTGTTTGTTTTGGTAGGAAACGGCCCCGGGGGCGGCGGTGGGGGCACCGGGGCGCGGCGGTTTGCGGTGGGGTGGGCCCCAGGTGCGCCGCGCCTCCAGGTGCGCCGCTGGTGGAGAGAGGCACGGGCGCGCGTGCGCGGGGGCGGGGCCTCCTAACCCGACTGGTAACTCGAGCTCTGATTGGTCGTCCTCCTTGGGCCACGCCCAGGTCTTCAGACCACTTGTTCCCCAGGAATAACCTTTGGTGCCTGAGAGGTGGAGAAATGTTCCTCATCAGCGTAATGAAAATAAAAACATTGCGGCTGTGAGAATATGCCAGGCCTTCATTGGTTTTTGCTCGAAACTGCGCACTTGTTGAAGGCTTTAAAATATAGACTTTGATGATTTTTTTACAGTCACTTTCTGGACGTAATATAGGTTCTAGCTATGCAGTTTCTATTTTTGTCAATTTGTGTATAAAGACATAGAGTTTTTTGAGTTACCGGGCTGTGTTAAGCATTTTGTATGAGCAGGAAAACTGAATAAAGAGCTCTTGAATGATCTTTTACCACAGTTGTAGTATTGGGTTGGCCAAAAAGTCTGTGACTTTTTTTCGTAATGTCAAAGACACATTTCACCTTTTCACCAATAACTTTATGGACTTGGATATTTTGTGTACGTCAGCTATCTCACGCTATTGGCTTCTAGTGGGGAGAGGCCAGAGGTGCTGCTAAACATCTTCCAATGCATAGGGCAGCTGCTGCAAAGGATTATTTGGCCAAAATGTCAATAGGACCAAGATGCTTTGGGAACCACTTCTGACTTGTTTGGTCATTCACAGCACCTTCTCCATGTACTGCACAGTTCTTTTTTTTTGCATTTCAAAATGTTGTGCTTTTACTTTCCTTAAAATAATGAAGCACAATATGCTGAAATTTTGCGTATTTTTTATCTTCGATATTAAAGTGGCTGCACAAAAATTCACCAATTTTGACATTTTTAAAAATGCACGCCAATATGATAGTTGTCATAATACAAGCACTTACTAGAGTCATTGTATGCAAAAAAAATAATGGACTTTCTGGCCCACCCAATGCTGAAGCAGAAATTGTAGGATGTGATTGCCAATTTGTAAAAAAGACTTTTATTTATTTACTTTCAGAGAGGGGAGAAGGGAGGAAGACAGAGGAACATTCTGTGTGAGGTTGCCTCTTGCAGGCCCCCAACAGGGGACCCAGCCCACAACCCAAGCATATGCCCTGACTGGGAATGGAATCTGACTTTTTGGTTCCCAGGCCAGAGCTCAGTATACTAGTCACAACAGCCTCACCTCCTCTCCCCCCTCCTCACCTTTTTAACTTACTAATTAGAAAGACATGGATTTGTTTCGCTTATTTATGCATTCATTGGTTGATTAAAAAAAGATTATATTTTTAGAGGAAAAGGGAGGGGAAAAAGGGAGAGAAACGTCAGTGTGTGATTGCCTCTCGTGTGCCCCCTATTGGGCATCTGGCCTGCAACCCAGGCGTGTGCCCTGATTGGGAATGGAACCCGTGACTCCTTGGTTTGAAGGCCGGCACTCCCACTGAGCCACACCAGCCACAGCCATTGGTTGATTCTTTTATGTGCCCTGATGGGGTATTGAAAGCACAGTCTTGGCATATTGGGACTATGCTCTAACCAGCTGTGCTACCAGGCCAGGGCTGATTACCATTTTTTAATCAAATGGAAAGGACAAAACCAGGGGGATTTGTCATCTGTATGTAAACAGTTAAGTATTAACACTTAAAAGTCAGATTAACGGGGATTCTATTCCAATTGCCAGTTTTAATATGTCTTATTAGAGATTTTTTTGTTGCAAAAATTTTATCTATTTTTATTTTAAAAAGTTTTTTTAAAGGTTTTTGTTTATTTTTAGCGAGAGGGGACAGGAGGGGAAAAAGGGAGGAGAGAAACATCAGTTCATGGTTGCCTCTCACGTGGCCCTGGCCTGCAACCCGGGTGTGTGCCCTGACTGGGAATTGAACCAGTGACCCTTTAGTTCACAGCCTGCACTCAATCCACTGAGCTCAATACACCAGCCAGGGGTATTTATTTACTTTTAGAGGAGAAAGGAAGAAGAAAGGGAGAGAAATATCAACGTATGAGAGATAAATCTATCAGTTGCCTCTCACATGGACCAACTGGGGACCTGGGTTCAACCCAGGCATGTGCCCCGACTGGGAATCCAACTGTCAGGCTGGTTTGCAGGCTGGCATTCAGTCATCTGAGCCACACCAGGCAGGGCTTTTTGTTGCAAACTTTAAAAAAAATATCTTCCCCTGAGGATATGTTTTAAAAGAAATTGATTTTAGAGAGAGAGGAAGGGGGGAGAGAGAAAAAAAAAATCAGTGTAAGAGAAACATCGTTTACCTACCTTCCATACATACCCTGACTGGGTGTAGGCCTTGCCACCCAGACATGTGGATGGAACTTGAAACCTTTTGGTGTACAGGACAATGCTCTAATGAACAGAGCCACCAGGCCAGGGCTATTGCAAACTTTTTAAAAAAAATATTTATTTTCAGACAGAGGGGAAGGGAGGGAGAAAGAGAGGGAGAGAAGTATCAATGTGTGGTTGCTGCTTGCATGCCCACTGCTTGGGACCTGGCTGGCAACCCAGGCATGTGCCCTGACTGGTAATCATTCAGTGACCCTTTGATTCGCAGGGTGGTGCTCAGTCCACTGAGCCACATCAGCTAGGGCTGTTGCAAACTTTTAAAAGCAAATAATATTTTCCAGAAAGTGAGTTCTGAAAATACTGCATGGTGGCAGAATTTTTACTTTCATTGAGTTTGATCTTTTGCAAGGAAACATTTGAAGGATTGATCTGTTGTCTTGTTGGTGAGAGAGAATAGAGTATTTTTGGTGAGGCAGAGAAGTGTTGATGGTCAAGTCATGCTACTAAAGAGAACATCGTTTACATTTTAAAGCAAGTGTAATGTTATACCTCCTGGAAATAGATATATATTTTGGCTTTTGCTGTTAGAGTTGCTTAAAATCTTACTTAGCATTCTGCTTAAAAATTGTTCAAAATCTGTGATCCACTCCTGTGATGTGGCTGTGACATGTCATTGCTCATTGCCTGATTTGGTCTGTCCGGTGGGGTGTTCTCTTCCTCCTCTACTTCCTCTCTCTCCCCTATCCCAGCACTATGTGGAACAGGATGTGCTTCTCGTCTAGAGGAGTGTGAGTGTTTTGTCAAGGGTATGCGAGTAGATTCTAGCTCTCCAAAGAAAGCTTACCATAAACAGATTCGTAACTAATTTGCTATATTTGCTTTGGGTTCTGTGAGGTACATGTTTTTTTTCCTTACAAACTATCAAACCTTCAAACACGGAAAAATAGAATACTGAATTATCCACCATTCTTAGTGATTCTCAAACAGTGTTGTATCTATTATTTCCTTCCTCCAGGCTGTACTATTTTTAAGCCAATTTCAGACATTCTTTTTATTGGTTAATATGCTGAAGTATTTTATTTATTTTTTTAAAGATTTTATTTGTTTATTTGTAGAGAGAGGGGAAGGGAGTAAGAAAGAGAGGGAAGGAAATATCAGTGTGTGAAACATCAGTCAGTTGCCTCTTACATGCTCCCACCTGGAGACCTAGCCTGCAACCCAGGCATGTGCCCTGACTGGGAATTGAACTGGTGACCTTTTGGTTCACAGGCCGGCACTTAATACACTGAGCCATACCAGCCATGGCTGAAATATTTTAAAGTAAATCTCAGACATTACATTTTATCCCTAAATTTTAGAGAGTGCATCTCTAAAAAATTAAGGACAATTTCTTACGCCACCATCGTACCAGTATCATGTGTATAAAATAATCCATGGTTTCTTGGTACTGTGTGTGTGTGTATAGTTTATGTTTGATTTTTCTCTTATCTGGGTATCTTTTTATATTTAGCTTGAATTGGGCTTCAGACAAGGTCTATGCATTGCACTGATTATATCTTCTTTTTTAAAAGAGAGATATCAGTTTGTTGCATGTACTTTTTAAGAAGATTTTATTATTTAGATGGGGAAGGGAGAGAGAAAAAGAAGGAGAGAAACACCATTATGTGGTTGCTTCTCATGCGCCCCTTACTGGGGACCTGGCCTGCAACCCAGGCATGTGCCCTGACTGGGAATCGGACTGACCCTGTGCTTTGCAGGCTGGTGCTCAATCCACTGAGGGCCCTTAGTTGCCTCTTATGTGTGCCCTGACTAGGGATCGAACCTACAACCTTGGTGTATTGGGACAATGCTCTAACCAGTTAAGCTACCTGGCCAGGGCACTGCAGAGGTTCTAGAGGTATCGTGAACCTCTTATCTTGCATACTTTTTTCTTCTGTGTCATTGATTTACTGAAGAGACTGAATTAGTTATCCTGTGGAAGGTTACACATTCCAGTTTTGTCTGATTTCTTCTGTTTCATGTTGTCTTCTGTTGTTTAACTTACTCCTTTTTCTGAATAGTTCTCACTCTTGGATCACAGTCATCTGGGAGCTTTATTAAATCTGGATGCCTGGACCAGTTAAATCAGAATCTTACTGGTGGGACTGGACATTACTAATATTAAAGCCTATCAGATGATTCCAGTGTAATTGTTTATGAAGATACAGTTTATCTTACACTTAAAACCATGCTGTTATTCAATCCTGTCCTTTAAAAGCAAGAATATTTTTGATACTTAGGAAGATTGATATTATTTCTCAATACCTGCATTGGGCTGTAAATTCATAAAATTTAATTGGGATTTTCATGATTTATAAGTGGTGAAGAGGAAGAAAGAACAAGACCTATAGAACTGGACATG